CCAACAATAGGCCTTTGCATATAACTACCAGTAGGTGGAGCAGAGAACATAATTTATTACCCAAGAACAAGGGCAGGGGAATGAAAGTCAGTTTATCGGGAATAAAACAAATCTGCAAATGAGATTTTCTTCAAAGGAAATATGTCCTATCTGTGTTAGATTTAGTTTGACTGGTTACTGAATCAAAATAAATAACTTTATTAAATAATCTTCTCAGAAAGATACATTTACAAATGGAAGCAATGTTTGCATTTTGCTTTATTCAAATCAACCAAAATCAGCTTTCCTTTCATAAAACTTTTACAGGGACAAAGATTTTTTGATGTGTTCATTTAATAAAGGTGCTAAACCCAATCCTGTTTTACAGGTGATGGGGTGCATATCAAATAGTATTTTCTGGGAAATATAATTGACTAATCCTATTATGTCTGTAGCAACAAATTAACCTTATTACTACTAGTAAATGGTGATTGATTATTTATGCAAATAAATTACCATGTTCAGCTTTCTGATTGAAATAAACATATACAAAAGGTGCTTTAATATGACTTGAACTTTTTAATTAATAAAACCCTGAGGGGTCTATTAATTCACTCATTGCAATATTAGTTATTTACTTGTGTAATTCCTATTAGCACTAATATATTTGCTTGAATAAAGATGAGATAATTAATACCATTAAAAATTACTAATTGCTTTTGGAACTATTTTAAGATTTACACAAAAAATAGGCTTAAAATTGACTTTAAAATTTGCTATCAATCTATGAATATATCAGTATATCAGCATAATCATCCTAAAATTGTTAATCCATTAAAAAACACATGATTTCATTTATTAGATATACATCTGAATTCACAAACACAATTTTGGCTTACAAAATTCTTCACCTTTTTGAAGTATTATTTGTCTGAATTAATGTTTTATTTCTATTCATCTAAGTTAAACTATTAGAACTATGAAAATTTAATGTCAAAATTACTAGTCCATAAACTATATTAATAATATCATTCCTAAATTATTAAAATTACCAATAAAATAGTGTTTATCTCTCTGGTAAAACTGCTATTAGATTTATTCCTTTTAAGCAGCTCAATAAAAGTTTTCTTATCCTAATATACTTCTTATAAAAATTATTTACAATTGAACATTTATTTGATAAATTTTCAAAGATCTGTAAAAATTGAAAGATAAAACTGATACAAATCTTTTAAAATGAATACTCAATTCTTATTTGTCTTTTATTTTGCAATTAAATGTCTATTTAATATAGTTTGAAATCAAAACTCTAAAAACAAGCAATGAAATTAATGTGCAAACAACTAACTAATGAATATTTTTAAATCTGCAGCTTACTCCTAGCACTCTAGGAGGCCGAGGCAGGAGGATTGCTTGAGCTCAGGAGTTCGAGACCAGCCTGAGCAAGAGCGAGACTCTGTCTCTACCATAAATAGAAAGAAATTAGCCAAACAATTAAAAATAGAAAAAAATTAGCTGGGCATGGTGGCGCATGCCTATAGTCCCAGCTACCCGGAAGGCTGAGGCAGAAGGATCGCTGGAGTCCAGGAGTTTGAGGTTGCTTTGTGCTAGGCTGACACCAGGGCACTCTAGCCTAGGCAACAGAGTGAGACTCTGTCTCAAAAAAAAAAAAAAAAATCTGCAGCTTAATTTATCCCCAATAGCCAAGTCATGCTGAGAAAATCACTACCAATATACAGAGTGAAGTGTCTTTCAGTACTAGTGTTTTCCTTAGGTTACGGAAAGTTTTTTAAGATTTTGATTAAAATAAAATAAAATAGCAAATTGTATCAATAAAATCATAAGTATAAATAGTTGTCAATTTCAGTCAGCCCCCTATATAAAAGCTGTAATGAAAAATAGGCAATTTCCTTCTACTAAAACAAACAGTTTGACATTAGACTGAAATTAAGTAGTGCCCTCCTTGTAGTTAAGGAGCATATAGTATATTTTTATATATACTAAAGTACTAGCATAGTACCAATACATGGTAGGTGCCCAAAAATATTATTGGGAGTTATTAACTCCCCATAAATTCATCCCAAATAAGATAAATATTAAGTGAATATTTATATTCACTCTACTTATTAAACCTTAGTGTTGCATGCATATTTTTGTTTAGATATAGATAGTTTACAATTGTGACTTCTAACATCAGTTTTAAAATTCAAATTTTTTCATGTAATGATGCAAAATACTGATTTAATGCTAAGTAAAGCAAATCTAGTGGAATATAAGGAATAAAACATGAGAACTTTCCAGTACCATCCTGTCAGTATTACTAATCCCTTGAACAAAATGAACAGATAAGAAAGACCAAGATGATACCGCTATTCTATTTTATCACCAAAAAAAAAAAGAGTTTGCCTTGGGAATAAAAGTATCTCCCTAGGTTCAAAGGGTTGTCTTTTCATCTCTAGTTACCTGTGATCAAATATTAAGATCTCTATGACAAAGTATACCAACTTGCCAGATCCAAATTAAAATCCCTGATATTTTCATAATATTCCTCTCCCAGGGAGGTGATTTGAGAACATCATTTCACCTTTAATGTCCTCGGGTCTGTGAAGCCAGGTGTAAAATGGGGGTGGAGCACAAGTATAAAGATCTCCAAGATAATTTCCATTAATAACTTAAGGAAAGCAAAGAAGGGCAATGAGAAAATGAATGCTTCCAATTGGCAGGACAAAAAGAAGTAAAAGAAAGTATAAAACCTTATTTATCCTTGACAGGTTAAATTCTAATGATTGTTATCATTTCCTGTATGCCCTTCTAAGGGCCTGGCATTATTTTAAATATTTTACATTTAACACTCATAACATTCTTTCAAGGTGGGCTTCATTTATCCCCCATGTGCAGAGGGAAACAAAGGTCCAGAAAACTCCAGTTAATCTCCTAACATCTTACCCTAAGTGGGGCAGCTGGGATGCCAACTGAGCTCTGTCTGATGACAATGCCCAGGCTCTTTCAATTGTACCATAGTACCTCAAAAATAATCATTGTATCAGATGCCAGGAAGTTTTGGAGACTGGGGATCACTAAAGTAAAGGTTACATACATTGATATTATCAGCAGCCTGCAAAGTATGAAAGAAGGAGAAAAATGGAATAGAGCATTGACAGCCCATGTTTATTAACACAAACATACCTAAAACATAATGGTAATATTTGAAAATCCATTAAGGTCCAAGAGTCAAGTCTCCTGTGGTCAGGTGTGTGATATTATTTTTCAGACCAGGTGATTAATATTTTAAAATTGAAATGAAATCAAAATAGTTAAAGAAATAATGTGTGTAAAGTCTCGATTATACTGTCTGACACATGGTAAGCACTCCATGGATATTTTTCATTAAATTATTTTTATTAGTAAAACAAATAAGTCTTTATGGACTTTCTAAATCACTCCACTGCATATTCAACACCTAAATAACCTTGGATAAAGCCTAATTAATAAATGTTTCAGTTAAATCTAATTTCACCATTTTTAAAATTGCTTTCCATATTACACTATCCATCATAAGTACAAATAGCACAATTAGAACTCAAATTAAGAAAGATTTAAAATATAGAGAGGTTTCAGAGTTATCAGAATTAATAATTGTATCCTAAGAAATTCAGAATTATCAGATTTAAATAATTAAGACTATTAATAACATCTTTAGTTCAATCAAAATTAAAATTACCAATAACTAAAGTTGAAAAAAAACATTTCACTAAAAGAAATTCTTGATTTGGAATTCTATACAGAAAAATATAGCACATCAATCTTACTACAAAAATTTTCACACTGTTATGGATTTTATAATAAAATAGTAACATTTTGACTTTTTAATTTTAAACATTATCTTTACATTATTGTCTTAGTATTTAGAGTCTAAAGACTTTGGCTTGAGTGTCAAGATCAATTTCTACTAGCTTTGTGTCTGTAAAATCAGTATATAATAGCTCTGAGTTTGTTTCCTTACCTGGTAAATAAAGATAACCCAATTATACAAATCCAAGTAAATATAAAGACAGTCATTATCAGAAAGTATTGGTTTTTAGGCTAGAGGTGCAGGAGGATCTATGTTCCAAATGGACAATGGACATGGCCAGCCCAGGACTTAAAGTGTTTTTGAACTTGGATGTCCCTAAGGGTGACCTTCAATCTTGGGCCTCACCATCCACCTCAGGGACTTGACTTGCCCATGCCTGGAGGCATCCGAATATGTCATATTTTGCCCTGAACTTTGACAATGGACTTGAAGGTCTCTGAGAAAAAAATAAAAAACCCAGAAACTGCTAGTTTCTTGAGTGGAGCTCAAGTAACAAAATACATCTCAACCCCCAAATTCGTGATTTTTTTTTAAGCCACACTTCTTTTCGCGCTGCTTACTCTACACGCAACGTACCCTTTCTTAGTAACCATGCCAAAACCTGAGGTGCTGTTTTAGCAAGCATCTGAAAATAAATTTTTACGCACTGCAAATTCCACATCCATATTTCTACATGAAGATGTAATCGCTGAAGCCATCTCGTTAGAAAAAGCTTTACCTGAAAACATCCATCGAAATGCAGAAGGGGGGGGGGCAAAGAAGGGTTTGGATCTCAACATCAGCTCAGTTAAAAGAGAAAACACGAAAGCCACCTCAGCTCAGTAACTTGCCAGCTCTCGATCAGTTCACGACACAACAAAAAGCCACTCAGAATGAGTTCCGAGAGCGAGGTGACGCCCTTTGCGTCGTGTCGTGCTATCGCCGTGGCAGACCACTCTGCCGACTGGGGCCTTCCCGCCAGCGTCGCAGCGGCTGTCGCCATGAAGCCGCCGTCACGGCCCAGTCACCGTGCCCGCGTGCACCTGCGCGGACGCACGGAATTGAACTCGAAGGAGTGCCTTTGCGATATCTTTTCAACAAGTCATGTCCCATCCAGCCTGCTAGTTTGTCTCTGTCAGGCTGCAGGCCCAAGTGGCTCGCAGGAGCTGTCAGGGACAGGTAGACCAACCTGGTTTGTGCTGAGCAGGTAATGCGTCTTTCGTGCTTGGTGATTTTTTTTCCTCTCTTCCCTTTCGAGGTTAGCCTTCTTCTCTTCTCTTTCTTTCATCTCTGCGAACTCCTCCAGTGCCTCCCTGCGTCAAAACCGTCCACGGTTATTTATGATACCGCTCGCTAGCATTTTAATCCATTCACTGATGATAATCAAGTCAGTTTTTGGAGGGGCAACCATCCTCCACATCCATCAAAATCAGTGGTGTAATCTATCTTAACCTGCATTTTCTTCTACGTGAATCTTAGCAATCTTTAAGAAAGCATTTAAGTGATGTTTCAGTGAAGAAGTTTTTAAACTCCAGTGCCTGTATGTTAGAATTACTTCAAAGCTAAGGATATACTCATATAAAACGCGAAGTAAGTGACTTATTACATTATCACTTTCTTTGCTTGAAAGAAGATGAGCTATTTTGGACATACTTTCATAGCAGTATAAAAGCATCCCAACTACTGATTTCCTTTCATTTTGGTTTTGTATTTATAAAATCTCTAATCATTTATTTTGTGTAATAATTAACAGGATAATTTTTAAAGTGTGGCAGGTTTTTACACGAGCTTAATTTATTTTAGGTTTACTTCAGTTAACAGTTCAAATACTATCAATAAGATTACATATATTATCCTGCACTGGAAAGGTTCATATTTTGTGCAATTATATAGATAATGAGAATAAATGTTAAATTAGGTGCATAAGTTCAGTATTAATATTTTCTAAATAAATTCCATTAAAATAATGAAACTTTTCATCACTTAAGTGTCTATATCTAAGAAATTTAAATGAAAATAAGCTTTTAAATATCCTATGTGAGAATACCTGCTGAAAAGAATGAGATGTCATCAAATATGGAAAAACAACTAAATCCTTTATCTTCTTAGAAAAAATTTAACTATCCATGTTAACATAATGTTTTGAAGTTGTACCATAATTTTCTTTTAAAAGCATATATGCAATTAACATCTAGTTCTGTAAGTAAAATTTTAAGTAACTCATCTGAGCATTTTCCTCAAAGATATCAGAGAAAAATAGAGGAAAAAAATTCCAAAAATAAAAAAGATTTTATTAAAAAATTAAAAAAATGTCTAGAAATATTTGTGTTGCAATTTTCTGTTAAAGGCTACTAATACAATACTTCATGCAAGGTTACTTATGAAACACACTGACGTTTAAAAATCACCAAGCAATGCTACTGCAGCAGAGCAATTTTTTTCAACATAAGATTAAATTGCAAAATAAATGAATTACTTGGAGTGGCATGGCCCCCATTTTGCCACCCTTCTCTTGAAAATTGCTTATTAATATGAAAAAAGGAGTCAGAAAATAGCCTGTTTTACTTTATGCATAGTATTTTGGGGGCTTCTGCACCCACAGAGCTGGGCTAGCTGCACATTTAGATTGTGTTGGCAAGCTGGTACAATGACCTTTCTGACCTGCATCTCAAGGCTATTATTAATCGCTAAGTAACCTGGTAAAGCCAAACAAATTTGTTTCCATTGAAAGGATCTCTATCTGTGTCTGAGAATTTGTTCTGTACCAAACAAACCTCATTAACTGTGTCCATTTTTGACAAAGAACCAGGAGTTAGAGGGATTGGTGACCTTTCTTTGTCCTTAAGGTACAAATTTCAAGGCAGTTATATATGAATAAATGAGAATTTTTACCAGAAAAAATAACAATCACATGTTACATAAAACAGTGAATACATTATTAATTTTAATCTTTACTTTTGATATTATGGAAAAAATAAATAATTCTTCTTATAAACCTCTAAGATAATTTAAAATAACCAGAGAACTGCTACTGTAGTCACTGAGAAATGCATGTATCTAATTTTATATTACTATAAAGATAAGTATAGTAATTTTCTAAGCAATCATAAAAATAAAAAATACATCCGTAAGGAAGTTTGTGCTTTATAAATGATTTAATGTATATGAAGAGCTCTTACTTGAGAAGAAAGGCCTAATATAATTGAAAATATATATGAATGGATAAAGTACAAAGAAGTACATAGAACTTGGATACAAAAGAAAAAGTGTAAGTTATTTGAAGTAGTAAAAACAGTTCATGTTCAGTATTTGGAAATGTAAAATAAAAACAGTGTGTATTTAGGGGGCATGGTAAGGATAGCTAAAGCTGGGAGATATGGAAAGGAATGTTAGTTCCCAATATATAAAGAAAACACACAGGAAACACTAGAAAAACTGTCTGGAAAACACTAGAAACACTAGAAAAATCTCAAAACACAAAAGTAGTTAATTTAATAAGTTCATACAATTATTGAAAAAAATCAAGCCTTAGGTCCCTAATTGATTTATTATAATACTTGAGAGTGTATGGATATATTGAGCATGACAGTTATATTTATGTCAAATATTCCTTGTTAAATGATGAAGTAGGAAGAGCTAAATAAATTATTTACCCTTGATATATAAGATTTTATCACATCAGTAGGGATGATATGGCTCAGTATGAAGGATGCAATAAAAATTATGATTCTACTAAAAATAGAAGTATGGAAACCATTCTAACTAGGATTCCCTACAAAATTATAAAAATTTCATATCTTTTATGCAATGCTTTTAGAACATTTCAGTAGGTTGTTTTTAATATGTTTATTTTTTTCATCTCCAATGCATTTTCTCATTTCTATCCTCAAAACTAAAAAAGAATCCTGTGATATATATGGCATAGCTCTTAATAATTACTCTATTTTACAAATATGGAAACACATATAGAGAATAAATGGACTATTCTGAACAACAAAGAAGTTAATGGCAGAAATGAAATCAGAATCCCTAGATCTGAAGATTGTCTAACTCCAGACCAGGAAGCAGTCATCCTAACACAAGAAATATTATGCAGACCATATTTTTTATTGAGTTAGCCATGTATATTTTCTTCTATCTTATGATCCTGTTTTAGACCATATCAATAAACTTGGATAAGTCTTAAGACTTTCGGTATCATTTTCATATCAATAAAACATTTGGTTATATTGGTTTTAAAATAAGGATAAAAATTACTGAAATTTTTGCAAAGCCTTACATATTTAAATATATTTTGCTAAAGATATTTATAGTGATAAAATAATTACATATTCTAGGTTAATGATAGTAATAATAGCAATAATAATAGCCACTGGGAGGCAATATAGTAGAGTGGCTAACAGCATAGGCTGAAATAACAGTTGTTTATAAAACTCTTGCTGTGCTCCTTGCTATTTAACCTTTGAGCTTCAATATCCTCATCTGTAAAATGTAGATATGTTAGTATCTTCCTCCTCAAGCTATTGTGAGGATCAAATAATTTGATTGATATAAAGTATGCAGAGTAGTGGCTGGAACATAGTGAGGTGCTACACAAGTGTTAGCTATTTATACTGTGAGCCAGGTACTAGGCTACTTGCTTTATCTACTCAACTGGACACAAATCCTTTATGCTTTCTCTAATTCTCTTGATGGTCTCCTCCCTTCTCTCTCCTGGTGGGTGCATTTGTGGATAAAATTCCACAATGCAGAGCATGGAATCTGGCTTCCTAAGAGGTAAGGGGGATGGGGTAAACCTTGGCCATTGGGAGACAGGAGAAAGAAGAGAACCATGCAAATAAATTTCTCCTTTCCTCTGTCATCCAGACACTGCTTTGAAGAGTGGTTTCTCCTTGCAAACCTGGAGCAAACCCTAAAGACAACAAGCATATCTGCTGTGCTATGTTGCATCTCTAAGGGACTCTCCGTGAAGCCCTGGCCAGGACTGTAGACACTCATCATATCTCATTCCTTCCTACAGGCCCATAGCACCCAGTGCTCCAACTGCTAGGAGTGTTGGCTGCTGACTGCTCGTAACTATATTTCATTGGAGAAAATCAGCTGCCCTAACTCAGGTTTTGTCACCTCCTCCCTGAGCCTGCATCCAAGGACTGGGAATTGAGGGAGTACATAGACCCAAGAGCCTTAGTCTCAGTTTGGGATCAAGCTAAAGGCCATCCAAATCCCGGAGCATCCTAAAATTGGCTGAGACCTGGGATGAAGTTCAACTTCTTCCTTACTTTCCTTCTCCCTTCACTCAGAGATGTTATTCCCAAACGTGCTCCCCAGTAAGTCTCATGCACCAAATCACTGTCCCACAGATCTGTTTCCATCTATGACACTTCACACCCTCTTTTTCCCATCCTCATTGAGTGGGTCTTGAACTACCCAAATAAAGTATCAGCATTTTAATCCTTAATTTATGCCCTGCTTGCAAGAGGTTCCTAAGACATATATATTGCCTCGTTTCATCTTTGCATAGTCCTGTGGGGCAGATAATAGCACCCTCATTTTGTAGATCAGGAAATTTGATTCATAGAGATTAAATCTCTGCCCAAACTTCCACAACCAGAAAGTGGCAGAGTTAGAATTCGAATCCAGGTTTGAGCCCCAAATCCACACCTTTAAGCATGATACTCTACTCTCATACCATACATTTTGCCCAAATCCAGTATTTTATTTAGATAGCAACAGGACAGTTTTTCTGAGAAAATTTTGAATACTGTATTACCTATATTATTTTTCCAAAACACAAAGAAGGAGAAAGCTGCCCTGTTTTGTAGTAACTTAAATAAACTGTCACTATTATCTCATCATCAAATCATAAGATTATAACTAGGTGGAATACAGAGACTTCTAAATTTGTAGGCATAAATCTCCTCTCTTTCTTAAAATATGCTTTCCATTTGCTCTTTCTTGATTAAGAGTGTTAATGCACATTATACTAATGTATAAAAAGAGACTGAAACAGAGAAGATGCTTAAAAGCTATTTGACACAATACACCTAACTACAAAACATGCAAAGACTTTCAGAATCAGCCCCTGCTTCTCTCTCCTTCTCACTTCTTAACACTCTCTTCCGGGATCACTCCACTGCAGTCTCAATGGCTGTATTTCCTTTCCTAGCAAATTGTTTATTTCTATCTCAGGATCTTCATGTATAGTGTATTTTCTGCCTTGAATTTCCTTTACAGCAATTTAGATTCTCCTCCCACTCTTCTTCTCACTCATGACACCATAATTTTGTTTTTACATGTAAAATCATATATTTAA